TTGTCAACAGTTGCAGAAGCACTGTGTTTTTTAACTATTTAACAGTCCCTTTCTTGAAAACATGTCTCAGTTACCGATACAGGAAATTTTGTCACAACTCTTTTTTTTTTTTTTCATATTGGAAAGCTTTGCACTTTATTTTTTTTTCCTTACGCTGCTTTCACTGCTTTATTGTGAAGGGCAAGATGAGCAATTGCTGTTGAAAGCTCTGCAGAGATGCGACATTTTTCTTTCTGCTCAGTAGTCCCGAATCTGTGCGAAGAAAAGCCCCCTGGCCCTGAAGCAATGCATGTTGCTCTACTAAAGTGATTCCTTTCCCGGACAGCTTGATAGGAAAACACAGACTTCAAACCTTTTATTATATTTAACAAAATACCTTCAGTCATTAAGTGTTCAGTAGCTAAACCTAGAGATAAACCTAGTGGCTCTGATCCTGCCCGGGCTGCCTACGCCAGCCTACTGCCTGAACTGAGTATGGAAACCTCGCAGACCTGGTCCTGGAGCTGGTACCCAGTGGGATGTCCTTCCCAAGGCCACCAGCTGTCCCAGGATGCCACTGCCGTTAGGGCATCCAACAGCTGCTACAAGGGCTGAGCCAAGTACCAAACTGGGGCTGGGGGTAAGAGCTTACTCCAGCGGTTTCTCCTCTCCCTGCACCATCACAGCTCACGGGCACAGAAACACACATTATTTGTACAACAAGCAGCAGCAGCAGCCTCCATCCAAATGCAGACCCCAGTCTGCATCCGAGGAAAGGCAGCCACCTCTGCCAGCTGAGCCATCCCTGCTTAGTTGTTTCTGCAGAAAGCGAGCTGTGCCCGTTGGACAGCCCAGGTCCCCACGGCCAGTCCTGCCTCTCCACTGGGACAGAGAGCTGAGAGACGCTTGGACTGGGATTTTCACAGCCACCAGTAGGATCTGGACCCTTAGCTCTCATTAAGTTGAATAAAAATTAATGCTGATGACAACTGGCTAACCACAATTTCTTTCACCTCTCCTCCTCCTCTGCCAAAGCTGTCCAGCATTCTTAGGTAAATTATGAGGTTCAGTTAATATGGATATTTTACCATTATAATTAGGAAAGTGCTCATTACTGGTTTATTACTTTTCTTTTCTGGTTATGTTTTCACTCTTACATCTGATAGGCACTTTCAAATTAATTTTCTTCTTATTACTGTTCAACCTAGTAATGCGTACAAGGCAAAAACAATAGCCCACAAACTTGCATACTTCTGATATGGAAATACATTTTTTTCTTTTTCAAAGAAGCATACACATTCTGTGAGGAAGGCAGGCACAGCCAAACTACACATATTATATTTTATTTAAATTTTATAAAACTATGTATCCAGCAAGAGGCAGATGGAGAGGGTAAAAGAAAAAAAATAACAGGTCAAATTGAAAACTGTATTTTTAAGTTCAATTTTTTTCATTTCCAGTCTGCTTTTTATACCTCCTTTCAAGGCTCATAAATCTCTACAGGTAAAGTTCAATGCCTTGCAAAATTCAGATAGAGAGGCATCAGCTCCACTGAAAAGACCTGCCCTCCCGCAGCCTTCCAGCAGTCCGGTGCACACTATTTATCTTTCACTCTGGTAATCCACACGCTATTGCACTTCCGAGTTATAAAACCTGGAATACCCTGAAACTGCAAACCAAACTGTATGTAAGCAGTATATTAAGGCGAAGGCACCGCCAACAATTCCGAGTGCATAATATTCTCAAACTACTGAACCACATGTTAATATGCTACACGTGCTATTCTGCATATTTTTACCATGTACACTTAGAGCTATATGTTTCCTCCACTTTCCAATGCAATATATTTTAATACAAAATCAATGTGTGTTTTTGGTGGGCAGCAGAAAGGTTTTATCCACTCAGCTCTGAATCTAAGAAGAAAGCAGTATTGATTTAGATGTTCACTCATTCATTTTCCAGGACAGTTTTAAAGCATTAGGTGATAACCTAATTGAGAGGCACACTGTAAGGGAAACTGAGATTGTTGTGATAAATTAAATTAGCTCCGGGTTGTCATCTATAAGACTTTAATATTTGAAGGAACATTCTCCCAAAAAAATTCAACCAGGAAATGAGCATCTTGGGTGGCAGAGTGTGGCTTTTTGTAAATGCCAGGTAATACAAGCTGATTAAAATGCATTATATAAGTAAATTGCTTATTATAGAAACACAACATTAATGAAACACATGTTCTATATGTGTCTTTAGATGTGCTTGCATATCAGACAATGTATGTAATTACCAGACTGCTTCCATTTACTGCTACAAACCAATTGTGAACCAGTCAAGAGTGTGAATCCTTTGCCATCTATCTGCTTTCTCTAGCATCACACAGCATTCATACTGATGTTATTTATTCATATTTATTTTACAGAAGCAAATCAAGTCAAATAGCATTACAACTGCTGCATACCAAATCGTGCCTGCCTTGCTCAGGTAGACGCTTTTCTGAGGCCAGAAAGATTTGGTCTCACATCTGGGTCCCACTTCTAGAGGAGCCTGACCTCCATTCTCTCATGTAGGCACAAAGACAATGCTGATCCATCTGCCATGGATTTGGACCCCCCCAAAGGCCCCCAAACTTCTCCAGCTCCTGCAGTCATTAGCTGCAAGCAGCTTAGATGACTCTGCCTAACGTTCAACACATATTCTTTGCAGAGAGGGGCCAGCCAAAGAGAACCTAAACAGCATTGGGTACACCAGCAGCAATAGCATTAGCAGAATCCAGGGAAATCTGAAATTCCTTACTAATGCAGGACACAACTGGTAAGGTACTAAGCACCCTCGTTTTCAACTTTTTTTAAAAAGTCACTGGAGTATGTGAAGTCTCATGCTTTGAGCATGAAGCAAAGTGAAACAGTTAACAATAAGAACGAACGTGCCTGTAATACAGATGATTCAGAATTAAAATTCATGAACTTACATGTAAGAAATAATTTTGCTCTGAATATTTCCTACATTTTTTCCACTTTTGTTCATGCAGGGTATTGTTAATAGATTTGTATCCTTCAAAGCAGTGACTAAACGAAGAGGCTTTTTTACATTATGTGTGTGCTCAAAAAGAAACAAAGTATAAAACTAGGATACAGAATACAAATAAAACCCCCGCATTTGAAAAGAAGAAAGGTCCTGGAGCTCTGAAGTATGCTTCTTACTTTTAAGAGTTAATGTGTGTAGATTTTTTCCACCTCTGGAAGAGTGACAGAAAGCCCCTGAGAAGCGAAAGCCCTGCTTGTTCACTATACTGTGTTTTGGAACCGACAGCAATTTCTGTCTGAAAGAACCGTGCCTTCGTATGTTACGTTTAGGGACAAAACCTGCTTATCCAGATTAAAAAATAATTTGTATTGATGTATAGTTTCAGCTATTAAAGCACAGAAGTCTCACCATATGCACCAATAATTTAATCTTGTTCTTAAGTAGCCTCACACTTCCAGTAAAAAAAAGGCAGGGGGTGCAGGGGTAGAGTAAACTACAGAACCTTTAGTCCCCAAAACAGATGCCAGTTTTAGATTTATTCAGCCAAGGAGTATTTAGCTTGGCTCAGCTATGCTCGTGTTGAAAAAACACATGCCTATTCCAAAAAGTTTTTAACAAGCTCTGCTGCAGATGCTGTTGCCATTTGGCATGTCACCGTCACTGTGTGGTACAGAAGAGAGAGAACTCTTGACCACAGGTTTTCCTTGGCTGGGGGAGCCAGCGTTTTTTGGCTATCGCTCTTCTTCTGGCCAACTGGCTGCATGTTTACGGAGTGTGGTTTTAGACGGGGTGTTAACAGAGGTTGGGTTAACAGCCTAACCCAGACCAACAGTGAGGCGAAGGCATGACCTAGCCAATCTAAGAAAACAGAGAGAATAAGCTCGTATATATCGTTGCTCTTAACCCAGAGTCTCTTGCATGCACCATACCTATACACAAGAAGATATTTTTCTTTGCCTCAGGACAGATGACAACAACTTTAAAAGCTGTACCAGTCATGCAAAGTAGAAATATATAAAAACATGTGGTTGCTTAATCTTTGTCGGCTTGATTTCATTCTCTCACGTATGACAATTTTACCTTGGCGAAATGCCACTGAAAGAAGTTCAATGAAGTTACTCCTGTTTTCCACTATGATGAGGTATCTTGTGAGGATACAAAACTTACAGAGTTAAACTGCAGACTTCTGTCCTCGCATTTCCACTAGCCAGCAAATGGCAGTTCTGAAGCTGAAAAAGCCTAAGTGTTTCTACACTACTGAACTCAGTTCCAGGGATATTAGTGTGTCCATGAGAGTGCATATAAAGTTGGGAAAAACTTACAAATGCCACTTGTAGTTTAGTTTAGCTACATTAATACTATACCAGTACATATCCCTGAGAAGTTTTGACCTTTTAAGACATACAACAAATTTAAAAAACACTGTGACATTTTACTCATATAAATAAATTCTTATTGTTCAAATTCTGACTCTTCTTTGTGACGGCAACACCTTTGTTGCACTCAAGCAAAAGAAAATATCCTAGTTTTATATACATTGCTTGGTCTGCTTTTATAACACTGCCATTACCCTGACACGCCAAAACCCAAGACTATGTACACTCCCTCCATATCAGACATTTTTTACTTCTCTCTGTATTAATTGACAATTTTCTTTAAGCCAAGTTGTGGAGCACAGACACCACCAGAGAACCAGCCAGACTATTTGCTTAAATTCTACTAATCTGCACAAAAATCTTATTTAATACAGTATGGATCAGACAGACCACCCTTCACTTCAGTTCCCTCTCACCGAGAGTTCATACAGGAACATCTTGAAAGTTCAGAGACACAAAGGCAATTTACTGCAGCGTATTAAAAAAAAAAAAAAGAGTATAACGTATGACTAAGAATGAAGTAAGCAGTGTCTGGCTACATCCCCCACTGTCTGGGTAACCAGTATGCAATATAAGAGCGATATAAGAAAACAAAATAATTTTAAAAATTTTTTTTCTTTTTACCATTTTGGCTTCTGAATGCATTGGAGGGACTTGAGGTGAAGCACATGGATTATTGAGGTTCGGCCCCTGCATCCCCATGATGTTGGAGTTCATAGACATTTGTCGCTCCATCTTTTAAAAGAAAAGGAAAAAAAAAAAAGGTTTTAAATCATCTGGAGACATTTGCAAGAATTTACGCTCAGTTTCTATTGAAATGGACTCAGCTTCAAGTCACGACTGGAAAAATAACAATCTGTGTCGTGAATTGCATGTGTGTATGCACACAGGCATGTGTTTCATCAGAATCGGCCCTGAAAACTCACAGCCAATTATAAAGAAAAGAGATCTTTACTAAACAAATGTAGCAGCCACCCAGGTTTGCGCTTTTTTGTAATGATTTTCTCCTTTTCAGTATAACAACACTCGCACTTAAGTGGTTTTAAAAGCATCACTGTATAAAGTTGTGGCTTCCCCTGTCAGTGCAGCCCAACTTAGCTTGTTAAAAACATAAATAAAAATCTACAATCTCAAGTATATGGAAAATGAGTTGGCTCTTTTTTCCTTCACTCAGGCTGCTCAGCTGAGAAGAGTTTTCCATATGTCTTGTAAGGGGAGCTTTCATGTACTGCTGAGATAGCAAAAAACAAAGCATAACTCCTCCTGGCTATTCAGAGCCCTTTCTGCAAGCTAATCTCACTAGGCTGGGAGGGGGGGGATACAATTTTCAAACAAAGCCTAATGGCAGTAAGGGCTGGATAAAATAATTTCCTGGAGTGTCTTCCCCAGAAAGAGACAAGTCCTGTTACACTGCTCGTCATTGCTGGGGTGATAAATAGGGTTATGCTGTTGCTTTCAGCTGGAGCTCAGCATCCTGCCTTGCTTTGGGCCAGTCCCCTGAATCCTTGGCTTATACAAGAAAGAAGACCTGTTGGATCCTCCTGAGCTCTTCCAAGCAGGGGTGCTATTTTTTATGCCCTGAGCTGAGGCAGGTGCTGGGCCTGGGAGAGAGAGGACAACATCCCACTGCCCACTGACAGGGAGAAGCTGCCTGCACCAGGGCCCCTCATACTCTCCATGGGACAGGAGCAGTTCCCACCATCTCCTCCACAGCCCTTTCAGGAGGGCTGTGGGGCAGAAGCTGTGGCCGGGGCAGCCAGAGCTAATAGGGTCTGTCTCTCCTCCATGCTCACGTCTCCGGGGCTCTCAGCTGGAGCACACCTGCTTGTCTGCAAGCAGAGCTGCCCAAAGGGCTCCCCAGCAGCAACCCAAAGCCCCTGAGCTGACACTGAAGCAGGATGTTTGCTCCATTTCAGGTTCCTCGGGAAACACGCCAGAAAAAAAACTGCCCACAGTGACATGTAATATTTTTTTTGTTGAACTTCCTGGTCAATATTCCAGGAAAGCCTTATTGATAAGTTATTAACTAATAACTTATTAATGCCTGCTCAAATAGCAGCCAAACCTCAGTCATTGTAGCCCTGTGAAACATCCCCCTAGCTCCAGCAGAGCCAGAACAAGCTGTGCTGTCTTCCCTCACATGGTCAATCACTCTCAGGTTGTCTCCCAAACATCATGCAATGAAACACAAACTTCTCCTTTCCCAATCCCCTGTTTCCCATGCCATCCTTACTTACCTCCACTCCTTATCTACTTTATATTGAAAAGATTGTTCAAAATCAACTGCAAATTGCACCCCATTTGTCCCAGAACATTGGGAATACTTCCAACTCTGCAGAAATGAGTGGAAGATGAGCAGTGATCATGACCAGATTCTAATTAAGGGCAAGTTACCAGGCTGTAAAAAAAGTAAGTCACATTTGTTTCTCGTTAGCTGATTATCTCCCACAAACAAGAGGATTACTTAGAGTTCACTGGCATAACTTAGGTACATGGCTTTTCCAGTTTTGTCTGACTTGAGAAAAATCTTTTTGTTCCAGATACTGATCTCACCTACATGACCAACTGTGAGAACCAGAAATTGTAGTCTCATGTAAACTGTTTCTAATCACTCTCACACTAATTAACAGCCCATTAAGTGCACCAGAAACACTCTTGTGCAAGATCATGCAGTCAAAAAGGTCCAGCTTCCTTAACTCATTACACTTTGATTTTGTAGAAAATCCAGCAGACTTTCTCCCTTCCCCCCCACCAAAAAAAAAAAAAAACAAAAAAACAAAAACACCCAAAAAACTAACCCCCTCTCGCAAAAAAGCAAACAAAATACCCACCTAACCATTGCCACAATATCACCATTACTGGCTCAATTCAGGGTGCTAAGGGCTCTGGAGCAGGAGCTCTCAGTTTTACCAACACTTGGGATGTTGATATATAACAAAACCATGGTTTTATTACACATTGTGGCAACAACCAAAAAAATATGCCACAAGTTCAGAATGCCATTCTTAACCTACTGGTGCATACTTCAAAGCAGAGTTGGTACTGCTAGCAGCAGTTGCATGTCTAGGCAGGAAAAGTCAGCTTTTATGGGAAAAAAAAAAAAACAAAAAAAAAACCAAACCAAACAAAAAACAAACCAAAAAACTTACAGGCATGAGTACAGCAGAAGATCCAGGCATGGTAGGGTTGGGCAGGGTGCCAGGCATAGAGGCAGGCATAGGCTGTCTTTGTCGGTTGTGTAGGTGCAGTAGTGAAGACAGAGAACCTGGGACAGGCCTAGGAGAAAAGGAAAGAAAGCCGTCATGGGCTACGGAGACCAAAACAAGCCTTACCGTGCCAGCTTTGCTAGGCACAGGCAACTCTAGACAAGCAGGCACAGATAAGCCAATCCAGCATTTGCCCTCTCCTGCATAAATCAGTAGAACAGAAAGTTTTCAAGAAACAGATGAATCACCTTCCCTCCACTGTTTACCAGCTAGAGCACCAGTATGGTTCATTCAATAGAATGTGAATGGAAACGTAACGGCCAGTCTCACTCTGTGCATCTCAGCATCTCACAGGGGCCAGCAAAAGATTTCTACAAAGCAGGAAAATTTCCTGGCATGCCACATCAGCCCAGTGCTGTAAATTCAGCCCTCGGAAACAAAAGTAGCTGGATGACAGTTTTCCAAACTATGACAGAAAATCAAACACTCTTAAATTAATTTTTAGATTTTATCACCTGTAAGTAAACTACTCTAAAATGCGTATTTCATCTCACTCTTGATATTCTCTCCTGCAAAACTCTACCAAGGCTTTGTTCCAAAGTGAGGTTTCTGATTCTACTCGTTAGCATGTCACCAGGACACAAAATGGGGGAAAAAAAAAGGAAAGAAAATTACCAAAATTACATTCAGATTAAGGAGCTTGTAAAGGCAAAAATTACGGACTATAAAAACACAGAATGAGTTATTTTGGCAAAAGGAGCTCAAAAGATTTAGAAGGATTTTTCTAAGTACAGCACAGGGAAAAGACTGCATGTGAGAAAGCAGGCCCACTCACGAAGACGAACAATCATAAAATTAATGGATTAAACAAAGCTGGGACTGCTCTTTGAAAATAGCCTTTAAGAACGTGGTCTTGGGAGTTAGTTAAATTCATCAGATGCTTGCTGCTTTTTTTTTTTTTTTAGTTTTGAAGAAGGTATGAGTTCCTTGAAGTTTGGGGTAAATATAACTTGTTAACTTTTCAAAAAGCATGAAAATAAGGAAGTTTTCACATAAAGTGCCTCAACAAACATTGTTAGTACAAGTTAGGACATTAAATTCTCACAAAGCAGGATGCTCTGCAGTACAGTACGCAGTTTACACTGTTTGTTAAGTAGGAGAGATACCCCTAAAGGTATGAGAAGGACCGGAGAGAAGGGGACATAGTCCAGGTGCTTGAAGAGCCTCTTTGGGGGGGAGCATGGAAAGAGTCTAAAAACCTTTGGAGACTCTAAACATCAGGGTTGATATTCAGCTTTGGCAGAAGCATCCTTTGCTTCAGTGACGAATCCACAGCTAGCCATGAAAGCCTCAAAATTGTGCTGGGCTGGTCAGGGAAGCAGAGTCATAACCTCAGAGCTGCAAGGGGGAAGACAGGCGCTTCTCCCACTTGGTCTGAACTGTGTCACCCCAAATGATGGGGCTTTACTTCTTGCCCCTCCAATTGTAAGGATACTGGCAATCATGAGTGCATACACCCCGCTTCTAACTTTAGCTGTCACTTCCATTTGTCTGACATCAAGCTCACAAAGGCTGTGAGCAATGGGATTCACAGACACCCCATACAGAGGACATCCCATCCAGGCTCCCAAAGCAGAGGTGCCGGTTTCATGGCAACATCAGCTTCTTCTGACCTACAAGTTTCAATCTCTTTTGCCCAGATCTCAAACCACCTAATCCCCTCTTCCCTAAAACTCCCCAGTATTTCCCATACCTGGACTTTCAGTCCTTCAACCCTCTTCTCTTCAAGCCCATTCCACCCAAAAGCATTTTCATCCCAACAAATGCCACCTCAAGGTCCTTGCATGCCCGCTCCTTCGTTCCCAGACACCCCTGCTCCTTCCACCCCTCTGCCCTCAGCTGCCCTCTCTTTAGCAGCTGCACATAACTGAACCCATCCTTTTGTCTTGGTTCTCCATGGAGAGAAAAAGCCTGTGTTTTGAAAGATGTTTTAAAAATCCTCCCAGACACATACAGTACTTATTCAGAAGGGGAAAAAAAAGCCAACAAAACAACAACAAATGTATCTCAGATACAGACAAGAAACTCTTCCTATGCCTCCCTGGTTATCTGCTGATAGAGAAATATGATGTACTTTACATCTTCATACCCCCCTCAAAGAAATTCAGGACAATATCTCCCAAATGTCTGGTGTAACCCTGTGAGAGGGCACAAGAAGCATTACGCAGGAGCACGAGTCAGCTTCTGGGACTGGGGACTCTACAATCAGCTCAGCCCAAGGCTAAGCCTGGGGAGCTGTGGAGGTGGTGGAACTGGAATGGATGTAGTACAGGAAAAATGAGCTCAGAAAATATACTTACAGTACACAGCCCCTGACCCATCCTACTCTCCACTTAAAACACAGCTGCTCCATATACCAGCGCTCATTCACACAGGAAGACTTATGAATCATTAGGACAGGGTCAAAATAGCAGAAAAAAGCAGATTCAGTAATCCTTTGAAAAGAAAAAATGAGGAGATAACAAGCTGAATGTGAGGAGAACCATCTCATTTTGGTTTTCAGAGGCTGTGGTGACCCCCATAAGCAGAGTCTACTCCCACCGGCCCATCCTCACCGCAACTATAGCCCTGCAGAGAGCAGACAACAAACTCAAACAGGTCTTCTCTATCTCGTACTTTAAAGCCCATGCCACAGCCACCAGACAGAGAGGCTGAGACACCCACACTGGAGGGGCTGAGGAGTAGAACAGAGTGTGCTGCAGCCCCTGCTGGGGTGGCACCCTGGGTTTACCCCAAGGAGAGCAGGCAGGGAGGAGCAGGCAGGAAAGGAGAAAGCACCGGTGCACTCTCATGCCTATCCTGGGACGAGATTGAGGTGGGCATCCACCCACCCACAGGAGCTCTGGAGCCCTCTGGCTCCACCAGCTTAGACACAGCCTACGGGAATGGGGCTGGTTAACAGGAGCAATGCATTCAATAAAACTATCACTTGAGTTTTCCGTGGGACTAAAGTAAAACAAGTACCATGACAACAGCCTCCCACCCCCGCCCCTCTATTCATTCTGAGACTGTCCCACATACAGACCCTTTATACAATTCACCAGTTTCATAATAACCTTAGGTGTTAGGCTGTTTGACAGAAACTTATTTTGGCCTGACCTATGCAATTTGTGCAAGTGATTCTCAAGGGACTGCACGGTTTGAGTTTTGCTTATATGTTCCAGAGCCAAAAAAACTTCCAAAATTGCTTTAATGAGTGTGGGAATATGGGACTTGGGCAAAAGGGAATTATTGGTATTTATTAAAATGGCAAAGAAGCTTCCTTGCTGTCCCCAGTTTCACCTTTAATGCTGCTTCGCTTTGGGGGTCTGCATATGCTTTACACTTAGCCAGAGGAAAAAAATCCTTAGTACTTCAGGTATTTTTCCTTGCTACACTCCTGCTAGTCTGTTCCCAAGTGTGTTTTTGCAAAGAGGTGAAGAGCAGTCAGAGAAACCTTGTGCTTCAAGGTTGACCCTCTTTGTCGAAAAGTCTACACCGCTCCTGCCACCAATAAAAGTGCTACATAATGGACACCAGATTCCACTCCCCAGCGGGGAAGCTGACATTGGCCAGTACTCATGGATACTTCTATTGCTTCCACATTGAATGCAGGTCATCGATTAGCACGTGCTCGTGCGCACTCGCTCGCACAGAGCTCGGGGAACGTGTATGGCACAGAACCACAGCAGGCTGAGATACGCAATTTGCCTAAGACATTTCTTCTCCTTCCAAGGACAACACAATCTCTTTTGTTGTTGCTTTCTATCCTGCAGCAAAGAAAGTCAATGAGAGTTTGTAATTGTTATTTTTAATGTTGGACACGTTGACTCTGCACCTCTCTTTGTAAATGCTGAGGAGGTGCTGCCTGCAGCCTGTCAGTCAATATTGCTGACCGAGGGATTTTAATTCCTTGGCACCTGTGTTGCTAAATAAAATGGGGTTATTGGGCAAACAGCCCACAAATAAAGGACAGATAAGATAGAGAACTGGCAAGTGCTCAACCTTCCTGAAAATTTGGCCATCCGTGGGGTTTTTCCCAAATTTGAGAATTTTCAGTGTGTTCCAGCAGGAGTCTGCTGTTGGACACGATGGAGTCTCAGTCAGCATTCATACGCTATCTCTTTGGGCGTACGTGGCCTGGATGGATAGCGTTACGGTGGCTTAGTCAAATAGGGCCTGTTAGCCAAGCTGCTGGAACTGACCACGTTGGCTGCCCTCCCTCTGGACGGCCGCGCTAACTCCGTGAGTCATCCTCACTAACATTTAAACAGATGGGCGGTACCCCGCTAAGCCACGGTGACTCGATCATGTTCCATCATATGACTCTACCCAATGATTAAAGATAACTCCACTAATGTAAGCAAATATCTATGCTATATACTTCACTATGTGCCTTCTTGATTAATACCAAATATTCTGTCTGCTATGATGCAACACCTATCTGACCCAGTTTTCTAGACTGTCCGATGACTAAACACTACATTTGTATATTAAAAGACCAGGCTTCCCTTAACTTGTATTCTTCAACGACAGTTTCTGCAGATGACAATTTGTTGCTGAGGTCTCATGAGATTAGGTTTATACTGACCTAGACCATTCAGGGCTATGTGCAGAAGGACTGGTGCTATTTAAAGTATCACTGCAGTATGTTTTCTATTATGGTAAAGCACTGCGGGTCAGTGGGTCTTACCATGACCTCTCTCCTGCTCCTTGCTCTCCTGTATGTAGCATTCATGCAAGGTCAGCACGAATACCTACACCACAACCTAGTTTGTTCTACTTCAGTTAGTGCTGGTGTGGAAAAAGTAAAGCTGTAAGTATATGGAGTTGCACTAGAGCAAAGGAACTCATCTCTTGACTTTCTGTGGCCTCCAGACCCAGCCAGCTCACACAGGAGTAGCCCACAGGTGGCTGGTTGTGCTGGGGCAATTTGCCATGTTGGGTCAGCACTGGCTCAGGGATTTCTGCACCACACTCCAGTTACGCAATGCAGACTTGCCCAGACGTTCATCATTTTTTTATATATAT